AAATGTCTAAATAAACCTCTTTCAAAGTGTGCGGCCTAGATCACGAAAGTCACCGACCCGAGCCCAGAAGCCAATGAGACCTCTAGCAGCACTGCGCATCAACCGCTTTCTGCCCCTCGATGTCTTCATCTCCTAGTCAAGAGCTTTATAACTGGCCAGCGCCTATTTCAAGGTTGACGACGTGGTACGCCATACAGTCAGAGCCCCCCATTCCCGCCGGCTGGTTGACAGGGTAGGACGTGGCTCCATCTGAAGTGCCGCGTTCTGAAGCATTGGGGATCGACGACGTCCGGTGCCTGAGATTAAGTGAAACAAAAGCGAGGTTGTGGGCCGATTTCATGGGCAAAGCTTGAACAACGGCAGCTTCATCCACTTGAGCCCTTTGGCAGGCACCACATGCCAAATGTCGTGACGAAGGAGGGAGACGGGAAGCACAAAAGAAAAAAACAAAAAAAGGTTGGCCGGCACCTCATGCAGTTAGGCGGCGGCCGTTCCCGCAAATAGCGGCTCAGCGGGTTTCGGTCACCTTCGATGTAAGGCATGTCGGCCATTCCATCGTCTGAATTTCTCATTGCTGGTGGGAGGAGGGTGCTTGCTTGTTGTGGCAGAAACCGAGGTTGCACACCATTACCTAGAGGCATTGTGACCCGATCCGACGTGTGAATGGGAGACGCAGCCTGGCTCGGGTTGGACCATGACGCAGGTGGTCGACAGACGTGACGTTTTGGTTTGAGCTTAAAGGGTCTGGCAAGAATGAGTGCATGAACCAAGTGTCCCTGCACACCCGTCAGATCTACAAGGTCCGCGTGGGTTCAGTAAGACCAGAGGCAATCATAGAACGTTTGATGGGATGGGCGCCATTCCATTGTCAGCGGAGAAGTTCCAGTCTTCTACCATTCTAGGCAATATAAAAGTTGTAAGTTGCCTGCGGAAACATTTGAGTCAGCAAACAATGAAGTTCGACGATTTGGGCTTGGGTTCAATGGAGCGTCTGGCCTCAATCACCGTGGTGCGACGCCTCGGCTGTCAAGCAGGAGCCTCTTACTGTGCCTACATACCGAGACATGTCTCGACATTGGACGCAGAGCTCAGGCTGTTTACCGTGGGCAATATATCCTCCGAATACCCCAACATGAGCCGAGGGCCGTGGCAAAGAGCCATACAGATGATTGAGTAGGCCATGGCTGCCAATGGCTATACTTGGCAAGGTTTGGCCGGGTCTCTTAGGGTAGGAGGACGATGGATGAAGCATCGTCTAAAGACTCAACGTAACAATCGGCAAAAGCTTGGCTACAAAACCCCAACTTTCGGAGTGGCGTCTCTGCATAGACATAGCAGGCCCGGGCGGCCGCGTATCATTGGCAGCTGATGTATCCGACCTAGGGATTCAATGTGAGTTGTTCTGGCACGTCGTGGAGTTGAAGACGGAAGGCAATGACGCCGACGTGACTATGCGATCAACAAGAGAACCGGCCAGGGGGTAAGCTCCGGAATGATCAAAGGGGCCCAGAACAAGCCGTCGATCGACGGGTAGTTCATATTTGGACTCGCTCATGACTGAGAGTTTATCAAGATGGCTTCGCTTCTCGTTCATAATAGGCGGGTTATATGGCGGGCGGCATGGGCTGCTGCGTTCCGAGTTGACTGAAAGCTGGCGGCAGAATGGACTGTAGGGGTTTTGGCATGGAAGACCGCAGGAGTTGCAGGGCGAACAACCTTGGTGCCTGCCTCAGAATCTGAGACGGCGAAGCGCCCGTGTCACAGAGTCGCCTGTTGTCAGCCAGTTGCCTCAAGATTCTCCTCGTCTGGAAAAGTGAATGTCACAGCCACAACGCCGGCATCACGGTAGATATCACGCGCAATTCACTTCGGCCAACGACGCCATGGAATATATGGAAGAGGCTCTGGGCGAAGGTCGTCTTCTGAGCGACCCAATATCCCTCCCGCCCCTGACGAGCTACTTCCACACTGACTGAGGAAGCACGGCCAAAGCTTGGACAGCCTGAAATAGCCCAGGGTAGTGATGCTAGCGCCCGACAATGCGTCGTTACGGCGGTGGGCTAGCTGTCTTGGTCAGCGGAGCGGTTCGGTTTCGACTTTCGACCCAGAACATGGCCGTCGTCGTTGTGGTCTTGGGCACCGGGGGCTGCTTCTCGCATTTCCGATACGCCTGAATCTCTTGACGTCGATGTCGACAGGGACCTGTCACTGGAACCAAGTTGTTCGACGCAGTCTGGGTGCCACGACTTATTGTTCTCTTTGTCTTCATGTCTTGCGATTCCGACGGTTCGATAGGTAAAGTATGCATCCATAGAAGGCTCAAAACGTCAGAGAAACTGTGCATATCAACCAAAAATATGGCAAATGAATGCTTACCGCCGATTGATATGGTGCACAGCGGTGGTCACATGTATCTGCTACGCGGGCGATCCACGGTTCTCAAGTCGCTACAATCGTTGCTTGGAACTTATCGAAGGCAGAGTGGATGCTTGTAATTGCAGTGTAGGGATGCGACCGACAACGGCGTTGCGTAGACCCCTGGGCCCTGGATACCGAGAGAGTTTCTGGTGCCCCATCCCGACAAGGGGGCCTTAATTCACGATGCTATGCCTTTGCGTCGTCCGTTTGACCACGGAGGAGTCTGGAGCTGCTTGCAAGTTTGCAGGAGTCAGGTCAAAAGCCGCACAGGAAGTCAGCTCAAGAATCCCATAATGATGAAGATCTTGAGGTCCTGTACGATCATGAGAGATGCAGCGCTCACAGAGCGACTGGAACTTTGGAAGCACAATACCAGATGGCTAATTCGGATCATCGAAGCACATGATTGGTGGAGTTGTTCCAACTAGGATCTTTGAGCGGCGGGGTGATTGCAGAGGGACGAGAAGGATGAGGGCTTGCCGGCACGGTGCATCCATCGCCATCCCACTCCTCATCTTACTAAGCTTTGTTGAATTTTGGGGGGCCACAGACTCGCGACCGCTCGATCTCGACCTGCTTGATCGGGGCAAGGTTGTGCGTGATACTGTCAGACTATCTGTAGAGAGGAGTCCTGAGCTTCCAGGTGTCGAGGGTTCAGAAAAGTAGCACTCAGTACTCCGTGCTCCGTACTGTAACTGTGTCGTGGCTTGCCAGATATCAATCAATGGTTTCCCATGAACAGATCACGCAGGTTTGAATGCCGAAATGATAAGTAGGGCCCGCAGGGTAAGCACGCGATGGCGTGCAGTCGATTGCAGATAGGCCGGACTAGAATCGACCGGGACCTGACTAGACGGGGATGAATTGAGTTTTTTTTTTCTCACTCTCCGTCTTTGTCGGGGTGATATCGGTCGTAATTTGGGAAATTAGAGATGACATGGTCGTTGCTCGACTTTTTTCTCGTTGGTCAGAAGTTCGAGTCGGGTCCTGTGGTGCTACTATCCATAAGCTGATGGTAGCGGACGCGGTCCCGGCTTCCTGAGGTCAAACTAGTGGAAGGGAAGCTTAGCAGCAGTGGTTTGTGCCTGGCTTGTAGACAAAGGATCAGTCCCGTCTGAATCGCATACCGCATGTTGTTATCCGTAAGGTGCACTGTGTTTCCATGGATGGCTTGTCAGCTGCGGAAAAGAGTGTGTGGGAAGGTCCCTTCTTCGTAGATGAAGCGTAGGTACTCACATCATTCGTAAGAGGCTCCTATTGGCCGGAGCTACCTCAGAAGATAGTATAACGGTATTCTGTGGTGAAGCCTAATGGCATTCAATGTCTCTGGTCAAAATGGAGGCCGGACCAGACTTCCGCGAGAACAAGGGCATTGTCCTGTCGAGCTCGGAGAAGCTGACCTTTTGGGAAAGCCACGCAGTCGGTGCAGCATGTCTTGGGAAGAGAAAGATGGAATGGTGTGGCTGCCGGGGTGCAGTTGGAGTCGTTGGACAGGCGTTGAGGAACAAAGAATACCTTCGGTCTCGCGCTAAGGACAGTATATTATTCGAGTACCTGCCATTTGGGTTCTTGGAGTGCGGCGTGCCTGTTCGTGCCTGCCCCCCATCGATATTGGGGCCAACCTGCGCTGCATCTCGGCGGCGGGGGGAAGAATATTGATTCGAACCAACGAGTTAGCGGGCACAACACCAGCTGCAGAGAGCCCACTTGGGGGCATCTGGGTTCCAGGCTCTCGTGGCAGACGATGTGAGAGTGTCTGACTGCATGGAGATGCAGGCCCGTCTCCGTTTCTCACGCACTCCAATCTCGTCGCCCTCGACCCGACCCTGTCGCGCGGCTTGCGGCGTGCCTGCCTCTCGACTCTCTGCCAATCTGCGCTGCTTGGTGCCTGCAAGCCGTTTGCCAGGTGGGCTGTGCACTTTTACTTGTACTTGCACACTGGACTTTGGTACGTATCTTATCCGTCCCTCCAGGGAAGGCACAATGAGTCCACACTCCACCCTGGGGGGTGCAGTTACAACAAGACAGCATCACGGGCGACGGACGCATTTCGCCCTCAAGGCACAATCGATACAAGCACCATAAGACGTGCTGTCGGCAAAAGAAGAACTCATGGTCAATCATCAGCCTCGCAAAGCAGGCCATGCAAATGAAGCTAGCTGGCTGCAGTTCTAAATCGAGGTAATTGGATAAATAGGCATGTCGACTGCAGCTTGGCCACCGCCCCAGCCACACCCAGCTACGCAACCTGCCCAACGCCTCCCGCTATTGCACTGGAATCCTGCACCAAACCTGGGCTACCTATCTATCTTGGGAACGAACCTCACTCTTCCAGAACCAGTGGCACTTGTAGTCGTGGTGGTGGTGGTGGTGGTAAACGTCTTTCCTGCCTCCCATCTCCTTTCTCTAGTCACACCCCCCTCTACCAGACTTGACGACAACCCCCTGTTCCCAAATCCCCTTGGCTCCCCTGCCGTGTAGCCCAAAACTGCCCACTCCTGCTGCACCCACGGCTAAGACCCCACTTTTCCATCTTCGCTCCCTCCACACAAGTCGCCCACTCTCCCACTCGCCCGCCCACATCGTCTTCCTCCCCAGATCGTGCGTACCTTTGTCTCTTTCTCCCTCTTCCCTTCTCCAGGTCGAACAGGAGGAACTTGATCCTATTCACTTCGCACAACCTCAACCCAATTTTCCTGGATGCAGCCCTGCATTTAGGACACGACAAAACTTCCACGACTCACTCCGACCTCGTCCGAATCGATTTGATTTAAACTCGTCGACCGAAATCCCGTCTCGCGACATTGTTTCAGCGCCAATACCAGTAGCACCCGTTAGGATACCGACTGAGCAGATTTGGGGACAATCGAGCAAAAGGATTAGCAGGAAAGAAAGAGATAAGGAAACTATTGCCATACACTCTCATCGGCACTTCGTTACTCTCATTCATGTCACTATTTTCGACCACGACTTTTGCCAATCAGTAGACGATGCCGCGCAACGACTTCTTCTTACACTAGCCCACCCCAAACAACTTCTTGACGACGACACCCGAATCTTTCGGACGCAACCCACCCTTCAAATCGCCGCGTCTTGACGACGCCGGCTCACCGTACAACTCCTTGGAAGCAGGATTCTTCGACGACAAACCGCCATCATGTTGCGACCGGCAACCCCCATGTCGGTGCTGCTCTTTGCGGCCTTCGCCTTGCTTCTACTGTCTACCCTATCGACCCCGATTATTAAGGCTATTCCGCTGGGTAGTTTCAAGGGAGCCAACTTTGGAGTTTTTGGCGTCTGTAAGGCAGACGGCACTTGCGAAGGCCCCGAGATTGGTTATGACACGAGTAAGTAATTCGACGTGGTACACTGCTGACCACCGAAACGGGGGACTGTGGCTGACACTTCCAACAGCACGAGTTTTTGGAGCCGCGGACAGCAAGGGGGCCTTTGACCTCCCAGACTCTGCCCGAAACACTCTGTCGGCCATCTTGATCGTACATCCCGTCGCTGCCCTCGCGACTCTCATCATGTTCATCATGGCTGCCGTCGCTCACCTTCACTCGCCCTCTCATTCTGCGAGATACCTTCTCGCCCTCTTCATCTTCTCCTTCATCGACTTCCTCATCTGTCTATTGGCTTTCCTCGTTGATGTTCTCCTCTTCGTCCCTCACATGGCATGGGGCTCATACATCGTCCTTGCTGCCACCATTCTTGTCGGCATGAGTGGTTTGGTCTCGTGTGCTATGCGCCGCATGTTGGTCAGCAGAAAGGCCAGGAAGAAGAGAATCGCCGAGAACGCTGAGATGAGCGGAGAGAATTACTACAACCGCGAAGCTCAGGTAAAGACTGCTGCGTCAGTCGCCTCCCAGCCTACTGTTCCCGTTGTCAGCGGAGGAAACGGCATTGATAAGATGCCAACCTTTGCCTCATTCGAATCTCAGAAGAACAATGACCAGGTCAGCGATGAACGCATCCCTCTCACAGCACGGAGCCCCGTCAATGGCTCTCAAGGCGTCATGACTGCTAGCGATGCTCCTCCCTCACGATCTGGCTCTGTTCCACCGATCCAGAGAGATCCTTACGGAAACCCGCTGCCGCCCCAAGACGGGTTTGGCCCAAGAAGAGGCCCCTCGCAGGAGCGCATGAGAGGCCGGGGCGGTATGCCTCCCGGAGGATTCAGAGGACGCGGCGGTGGCTACGGTGGTAGAGGCGGATATGGTGGCTACGGCCCTCCGCCTCCAGGAAGAGGTGGCTATGGAGGTCCTCCCGGACGAGGAGGTTATGGTGGTCCCCCACCTGGTGGTCGGGGCGGATATGGCCCGCCACCCCCTCGCGGCGGCTTTGGACCAAACGGTATGAGGGGAGGCCGACCACCTCCGCCAGGCTATCAACCCGGACCTGGTGGCCCCGGAGGTCCTGGACCTTACGACCGTCGTCCAAGCCCAGCCAACGGCTACGGTGGTCCCCCTCCTGGTAACCCTTACGGACGTCGTTCCATGGACATGGCCCCGGGATACACCAGTGCGAACAACCTCACAAACCCTTCCCTTCCGTCTATCCCTCAACAAGAGCAGGGCTACGAAGCCTACAACCCTCAGCGTCAGAGCTTGCCGAGAGCCGAATCACCCCCGCCTCTCCCTGGCCACGATGGACAGCCAATGGTTGGTCAAGCGGTTGAGATGGACGCTGCTACAGGAAGCCCCGCTCACCCACCTCCGGGTTTCGGTCAGTTCCGTGATAGTGACGCTGACATTGCCGGCATGGTCGGGCTTCAGCAGCAGCAAAGCGGCGGAAACAGGTCTCACCCTCAGAGGCATGATACGTACATGAGCGAGGCAAGCAGGTACAGCCAAGACGAGTAAGTTCTTTGATTCATGGAAACAGAAAAGAGCTTTGCTGATTCGGAAACTTTAGTGCCTATGTCCCGCCTCGTCAGGCTTGGAACCAGAACCAGGCCTCATCACGTACGGCGTCTCCGCTGCAACAGCAGCGCTCTGCTGAGATGCTCAACCGAAGCTCGCCTGCGCCAGCAGCCAGCGATTATTACGAAGATGTTGATCCGCGCTTCGCGGACGCGCCAGCACCGGCACCGGCTCAAAGAGCAGGTCCCCCGCCTGGCCTTCAGGTACCTTTACCCGCGCCCAATATGTATGATGACGCTCATGCGGATGCCGGTGCACGTAGTCCTGGCGCCGAGTCTGATCTGTCCAACTTCACCTCAATATCCCAGAGAGGGGTAAACCCGAGGTGGAATCCTGCGCCGCCAATGCCAGGTTATGGTCAGCCGATGCCACCCCGACGACCCGTCCAACAGCGAAGGCAAGACATGCTCTTGAACAATAACCCCGACTTTGAGCTTCCAGGCAGTCGCCTCGGCCCCCCATCCCGAGCAGGAGGCGCCGGCATGATACCCGGCAGTGCGTATCCGCAAGGCCTCTAATTACAAATTTCCCCCTTTCACTCGACCGTAATTGGATCTTTCTCGTCAGTCGAGTCAACTCGCCAAGTATATACACCAATTGTGAGATGCCTGGCATTTCATTTCTCAACCTTCCTTGAACAACACGAGTCGCAATTTTCGAGTCTCAGCACAGGCTCATGATGTTTTTACAGTCATGTCCTTCAGCCGATACCCCAAGCAACATTCAGTTCTCGTCCGCCCAGTACATACACCGGACTCGTGGATTTTTTCAAAACGGGCATTCTCTTCTTTCAAATGCTTCATTGCATCGAAGCAGTGTGGATGAAAATGAGTTTCGGCTCCAGCATTCACCAAACCTTTTCCTGAGTCGTTTACTACAAACACACGGGCCTTTTGGTCTTTCTTCTCTTTTAGATGATTCAGAGTTGCATCCCATGGCTCCCTGACACCGTTGCCTACTAGGGCAGCCAACTCTTGGATCATGTCTGATTTCTCAAGCTCAACGATCCTGGAACAAAGCATGCGGGATATGATAGAATACTGTTGAAGCATGTGTAGGCTATCTGGTCGCGGTTGATTACGACCTTTTTTGATGAGCGGTTTCATGGTGGCGTGTGTGGATATGATTAAAAACAAATGGTTTCAGGATCGTCGGCTTGGCTCTTTGAGCCCGCCCTTCAACTATCTTGCATGTGACGAGGAAGCTATGGATTGAGGAAAGCTGGGTCTCGCCGCGGTTGGTGCTTGACACGCGTCGTTCGCTGAGAGTGCGTGCGAGACCATAGAATCATAGTGAAGGGTGGCGGCAGAGAGAATACGAGAGATTACACTACTGCTGTGCGCTATGCCATATACAGTGACTATACTTGCATGTGCTCTTATCAACGTTGTACGGCTATCCTGTCCGTAATGAGAATTGTAGTTACGAAGATGCGCTATGGTAGTTGGAGGCTCTCGGACTTGAGCTTACGACCGGCCTAGTCATCCGGAACGTCTTGGGCGAGCTGACACTTCAGCTCCCTTCTTCACCTCGCAAAGTCTTGGTACTTCTTTGCTGATCAAGGCAACGAACAACATACGGGCCGACTTAGTCAGTTAGTGTCCAGCCCGGACCAACAATGGACTTGTCATGCAGGCTAACCACGGATAGGGCTACTAGCTATCTCCTCGAGATCTGCAACATCAGGCCATCTTACGGACGAAGGCGGCCATGATAGAGTTTAGGCTGGAGGGGGGGGAAGGGCATGGGAGGTTAAGACGTAACAGGCGCCCCCGAGATCGAAGATGTTCTAGGCTGAAACAGCGTTCCAGCTTGAATGGTTGTCTACGGGCCGACATTATTCTGAGCCCCTTCTTGCCTCCTTGGTTAATCGGTACGGTACGACAGAAGGGGGCGGGGAGACGGGGAGGGGGGGGACGGACGAACGCCTCCTTCCTGTCTACCCTTCGGACACTTTGCTGGATGGCTTCGATTCTGCTTGCTTAGGTTTAGTCTCATGACGCAAGAAGCGAAATGTGGGCAAGTCCAAGCTTGGAGATGGGTTGCCCCAGATGTCAAGGTATAGCCTGAGGTAACCCATCACCTGTCAGGGGGTATAATTGAAGCCCTAAATCAGTGACACGAGACCTCTGGGGGAGAGAAAGCAAGCCACCGCCAACCTTATTTCTTGACTCCTAAGCCGAACATGGAAGCCCTCCCGTGAGATTGGCCGGTCGAGCACGGCAGCTAAGGGGAGCAATAGCCAAATGCAGCGAACTTTGACTTGAGAGGCCGATCTGGTTCTGCGTGTCGAGGTCTCTGTCCTTTTGACACTTCGCTCGTCTGGCGTGGGTGTACCGTGGCGTATATTTCGAGATGATTGGTTGATGATCGCTCATCCTCGAGAGAGAGGAGAGGCTTTTTCTCTATTCTGCTCGCAAGGGGAATGGCGAGAGACAATCCTGCTTGTTTATTGGGCCGGGGAACGAAGGAAAGGTGTGGGGGAGGGAAAAGGGGGCGCTCGGGGATCGTGTAACCCGACTTGCCTGTGCCTTAGAACCTTTGATCGTTGTGGGTATGTGGCGGTTGCATATGCGGACCTTTTGTGTGTTTCGCTGGAGCGTTGAACTCTTGTAGGGCGCCAGCGGTTTTGGCCGTTGGTGATGGTGGATGGAGAAGGTGGATTTTGATATGCTGAGTTTTCCGGTGAGAAAGTCAGGAGCGCGTGTGTGCTGTCGGGTGAAGAAGTCACAGGCTGCGAGTCATCAGGGAAGGGGGGTCGAGGACACCTAGGTCAACACGCTACAAAGGTTCATTAGATATAAGACTCGAGGACCTCGCTTACATTAGATTGTAGATGAATTAAATCTGACCTTGAATCAGATAACTTTTCGTCCCAACACCTCTTTCGTCGGAACATTCACATTCACTCTGATCTTTGATCCGTCTTTATCCTGTATTCCGAGATCCGACAACGACATGTATGCCACCGGTATTGTGCGGTCTCCCAAGCACCTCATCGACAGAATGAATCTCGAGAAGCATAATCATTACATTGTCTGCTTTGCCACGATCCCATGCGACAGTCCCGAGCATCCATCCAACAGAACGACGACCACCGAAGGGGAATTGTGTCGATATCACCTGTGGGTGTTTGACTCTCCGCCTGTCGTTCTTCCTGCCCTCGAGGAGAATCTTATCGTTCCGGATGGTTCTGGCAACTTCAAAATCAGACTAAGTGGCTTCGGGAAAGGGGTTTCGACAGAATTGTTACAGAGGATGACAGATATACTACGAGCTCGCATACAGGCTTCTTACTAGGCAGTGGTATGCTTTCATCCTCGAGGTACTCCGCATCGGCTATGCAGAGCGTTGGCGTTTAGGACTTTGGCTTTCCCACCGCGCAGTCTTGTAACCTTGCTAGTATTGTCTTCTTGGGCGTCGAATTTTCTGCGTTGTTTTGCTGCAAGAGGCCGATGAGAGCAAGGCTGAGATGCAGGCACTGATCAGAACATTCTTACCCGACTCCTGCCTCGCTTCCCAACCTTGTCTTCTCTGGCCATCTGCGCATGTTTTTTTTTTCTTCAAGGTGAAAGGAAGAAAGGCCGGCTTGGGCTGGGCTGCCTCGACGAGGCTTCTGCCTTCCTACTTCACCTTCAATTTACCTGCAAAGCTGCCTGTACCTTCCACCCACCTCACGCCTCCTTCCTTCCCTGTCTGGAAAACCGCCTACGAGCGCGCCTTCCATCCGACCTTCAGACCGCGGCCTCACCTTCCGTCCGCACATTTGTATCCTGCCCTGCAAAGCGTCAGCCCTCGGCCCCTCCCTCAACTCCATCAACTCCTCTTCCTTTCGTCCTCCCTCCATCTATTTTCCAGACCATCCATCACCCCTCCTCAACTTGCAATTTTCGTCAACCGCCGCTTCGTGACAGCTTCACCCCCCATCTCGACTTCCAGACGAGATGACCTGAAGCTTTTACACCCAAAGCAGTTGGCACCATTCTTTTCTTGATTCCTTCCTCAGTCTCATCATCAGTCGTTCCCTCATCCGCCACGGCAACAGCAACAGCAACAGCAGCAGCAGTAGCAGCAGAAGCACCCCTTTGGATGCTCACCGTCTGTAAAATACTCCCCAAACTGGATCAACACAAAAGGAATTCGTCTTTGGCCAACGCTTATCCATATCAGGGTTTCCGAATTTTGTTGGATGCTTCCAAGTATTGGCGATGCCTCTGAATCTCAACATGGATCATCTATCTTCTTCCTCGTCGGCGGCGGCGGGCACTACGACCTATACCCAGCAATCTGTCAGCACCTTCCAACAGGATGTTCCTAGACAAACCTATACGACTGCCGGCACCATCTACAACCCCAGCAACGCCCAGCAGCTCCAGCCTCCCGTTCGTCGCGGCCGCACTCTCAAGTGGCCTGCCCAAGGGGGCGCTGCTTCTGAGCTCTCTCTCTTTCCCAAGTCAGTTCTTGCTGGCTTGCCTCTCAAGTCCCAAAATCTCGTCACTACACCCACCAGTCCTCGCCCACCCCAAATCCCCAAGTACTCGCCTCTTCAGCAGAACTACGACCGCGCCGTCAGTCCTCTCACCGACTACAGCCTCGAGTCTCCGAAGGAATTGGACGTCCGAAGCATTTCGTCTTCCTCTCTCATGCCATCTAACAGCATGGATAGCAACCAAGCCTCACCGGTTGCTGCTGCCATGCCCACATCCGTCATGAAGAAGCATTTCGATGCCAACTCGACCGACGATGAAGACGATGAGAGCTCTGGCGAGAACCCTCTTCGAGGCCTGACTGTCAAGTCTCTCCACAACTTGGCATCATACCCGAACCCGAACCAGAAGAGAGCTCAGAGGGCCCTTCTTCGTGCCCGGCCGGGTGCCACGCCGGCCCAATCTGCTGGCAACATCAGTCGCACGGCCACTCCATCTTACGGAGCCCAGGCCTTTGAGAGTTTCGATGTGGGAAATGACTACTCACATTCTCCTGCTCTATTCCATTCTGCCAAGACGGACCCAAACGACATTTTCAAGATGAAAGCCGATAGGTCAAGCCATGATCCTGACAACTCCTGGCGCAGCAACTGCACAGGCCCGCCACCTGGTCTTTTTCCAGCAGCCACTATCCAGAGAGATCTCCCACAGACAGCGTACAAGTCTACTCTTGCAACTGGCCCAGGCGCTCCGCGTCCCTTGACTGCAGGCCCTCCGGGCCACCGACAGTATCGTACATCGACGTTCGAAAACACGGTCAAGGCCCTCAACAATGGCCCCAAAGAGATGCCGCTCGACGGACCCATGTTGGGTCAAACGAATCTGGGTCCGCAAAATCACATGGCGCTCGAAACCATAAGGTTCCCAGGCACAGAGACACCCGTTCATCTTAAAAGCCCGCTCGATTCCCTTCTCTGCGGCTCTACACCCGACACAGACGACTGCCTTCAGGACGTCGTCGAAGAGGCGCGAAAAGTGTCTGATCAACAAATGGAGAAGGTTCTGGAGTTTATCAAGCTTGGACAGAACATGAACGAAGCCACGAGCCGTGCTCAGGCTGCATCCGCCATGCCCGTGGTCTCTAGTGATGAATGGCAAGCTGACTATCCCAAGACAGCTCGGCCTCCCTGGACGGAGGGAACGTGGGCCATTACGGATGATGCGCTCCAGAAGCGCAACGAGAGAATCAGCCAGCTATTTCATGCAGGCACGGGCGCGCTTGGCAAATCCATGATGGCTGTTATCCAGGAAAAGGAATTCCGTGACTTCAAGCGCCAGGTCGGTGTCATCGGTGACCGACGACCCAAGTCCAAGGTTGAGAAGACTGAATACCCGCCCATTAAGGTTGCTCAGCTTAACAACATGTCGGTCTCAGAGGCGACAGAGCCCTTCCTCACTATGGCCTATGCTGCCTTGGTGAACCACCAGGAGGGAGTTCACGATCACCCTCAATTCCATCAGTGGGAAGACCCAGAGCCACACATGGTTGACACGTCTGCTCAGGGTCTCCGATCAGTGTTTAGACGGTGATTAATAGATTTCGTGGAGGTTTTCATCAGTCATCTTCTCCTTCGTTAGCACCGTCGCTTGGATGGGCACCTAGTTTGGGCCCCTTTGTGTGGATTACCTGGGGAAAGATCTTGGGGTTGGGACGATATTTAACAGAGCAGCAGTCCCCCCAAAACATAGCTTAGAGGGACACGAAGCAAGTTTGTTCAGGGGGCGTTTGATTGAATTCTGGCGGTTACACAGAACAGCAAAGGCGGTCATCAGTCTTTTCCGCTTTATTACTCTCAGATAGGCAATCAAAAAGTTTAGGTATCACCAGATTGCTCCCACTTGCCAAGGTGATGACTTTGAACATTTTGGAACATTGGAATTAAGTGAAGTCTGGAAATCGTGACTTGGCCTCGTCAACGAACTATGCGTAGCTCGACTGTATACCTTACCTACCTTACCTCTCGTACGAAGAGGTGTTCCAACGAGCCGGGTACCCTTGAAGCCAGATAAGATAGACGCGACGTGAAAGTGAAGTGTGGCTCCATGTCACGTGCAAGGACCCCACACCCATGTTCGCAACGCTACCCACCAGCCGTCAGGAGCAGCCAACTGTCCCATTCGAAGTCACCGACGCCGACCTCAAGCAGTCCGCCAAAAACCGCTGCCCAACATGAGCTACGGCAAGAAAGACGAAGACGCGGATTTGGGCCTGGTGAAGGTCGATAGGACCCAGGTTTTTCAAGAAGGTGTGTTTTGACGGAATTGCACTCGATCCTCTGCATCCCTCTGGAACCCCTTGGAGCATTGGGCGAGCAAGCTGGCTAAACTGGAGTGAACAGCACGACTATTCAACAGCTCCCCAATCCAGCCGCGAAGATGCCGAATCCTCCTTACCAAGATCGCCCTTCTGCTCTATACGGGCGAGAAGTTCCCTACGAACGAAGCGACGACCCTCTTCTTCGGTATCTCGAAGCTGTTCCAGAATAAAGATGCCAGCTTGCGACAGATGGTCCACCTTGTCATCAAGGAGCTGGCTCACTCGGCCGAGGATATTATCATGGTCACCAGCACTATCATGAAGGATACAGGAGGCAGCACCGATGCCATCTTCCGACCCAACGCCATCAGGGCCCTGTGCCGCATTATCGATGTACGCCGAAGCTGTGAGCTACATGGAAGGGAGAGGGCAGTCTGCTAACTAGCTTTCAGGCGACCACAGTTCAGTCCATTGAGCGTGTGATGAAGACAGCAATCGTCGACAAGAACCCCTCAGTATCTTCTGCGGCTCTTATTTCCTCCTACCACCTTCTCCCAATCGCCAAGGATGTCGTCCGTCGCTGGCAGAGCGAGACGCAGGAAGCTGCGGCCTCCACGAAGTCCTCCAGCGGCTTCTCCCTGGGTTTCTCCTCCTCAAGCGGCCAATTGCCCGCCAACAACTCCACCATGCCCCAGTACCACGCCATTGGTCTGCTATACTCGATGCGCATGCACGACCGCATGGCGCTCGTCAAGATGGTCCAGCAATTCGGTGCCGCTGGTGCTGTCAAGAGCTCTGCGGCGATCGTCATGCTCGTCCGTCTGGCTGCCCAGCTGGCCGAGGAGGACCCGTCGCTCAGAAAGCCCATGATGCAGCTGCTGGATGGCTGGTTGCGCCACAAGAGCGAGATGGTCAACTTCGAGGCCGCCAAGGCCATCTGCGATATGCGAGATGTCACCGACGCCGAGGTCTCCCAGGCCGTCCACGTTCTCCAGCTCTTCCTCACCTCCCCCCGCGCCGTCACAAAGTTCGCCGCTCTCCGAATCCTCCACAACTTCGCCTCCTTCAAGCCCAATGCCGTCAACGTGTGCAACCCCGACATCGAGCTCCTGATCTCCAACAGCAACCGATCCATCGCCACCTTTGCCATTACCACTTTGCTTAAGACCGGTAACGAGGCTAGCGTTGATCGCTTGATGAAGCAGATCTCCGGTTTCATGTCTGAGATCACGGACGAGTTCAAAATTACCATCGTCGAGGCCATCCGCACGCTCTGCCTGAAGTTCCCCAGCAAGCAGGCTGGTATGCTTGCTTTCCTGAGTGGTATTCTCCGTGACGAGGGCGGTTACGATTTCAAGCGCGCCGTCGTCGAGAGCATGTTCGACCTGATTAAGTTCGTGCCGGAATCCAAGGAGGATGCGCTTGCCCATCTCTGCGAGTTCATTGAGGACTGCGAATTCACCAAGCTGGCGGTTAGAATCCTTCACCTTCTCGGTCTCGAAGGACCCAAGACCTCTCAGCCCACGAAGTACATCCGCTACATTTACAACAGAGTGGTTCTGGAGAACGCCATCGTGCGTGCCGCCGCTGTTACTGCTCTTGCCAAGTTCGGTGTCGGCCAGAAGGACCCCGAAGTCAAGCGCAGTGTTGAGGTTCTCCTCACAAGATGTTTGGATGATGTGGACGATGAAGTCAGAGATCGTGCAGCGCTCAACCTCAGACTCATGCACCAAGAGGATGAGATTTCTGAGAAGTTTGTCAAGAATGGTACGTTTGATGTTGGTAATTGCGTAAATCTCCTTACTGACCCCTTTCCAGACAGCATGTTCTCTCTGCCGTACTTTGAGCACCAGCTCGTCATGTACGTCACATCGGAGGACAAGTCCGCATTCGACAGCCCCTTCGACATCTCTCAGATCCCTGTCGTTACTCGCGAGCAGGCAGACGCGGAGGACCGGACGAAGAAGCTCACGGCAACTGCCCCGTCTCTCAAGCCTCCCAAGGTTGGCCCTACAAAGGCCGCTGCAGGTGGCGCGGAGGCTGCTGCATCGGCAACTGCGGCTTCTCAGCGTTACGCCCAGGAGCTGATGCAGATCCCCGAGATGAAGGAGTTTGGCAGCGTGCTCAAGTCGTCACCTGTTGTCGAGCTTACCGAGTCAGAGATGGAGTATGTCGTTACCGTCGTCAAGCACATTTTCAAGGAGCACATTGTGTTCCAGTACGAAGTTAAGAACACGCTGGATGCGACCGTTCTTGAAAACGTCTCCATCGTGGCGACGCCTTCCGAAGAGGAGGAGCTCGAGGAGGTTTTCATCATCCAAGCTGATAAGCTTCCCACAAATGAGCCGGGCAAGCTGTACGTCGCCTTCAAGAAGGTCAACGGCGAGGGCTCCATGCCCGTTAGCAGCATCTCCAACGTGCTCAAGTTCACGAGCAAGGAGATTGACCCCACTACAAATGAGCCCGAGGATACCGGCTACGACGACGAATACGAGGTGGCCGAGTTCGATCTGTCAGGCAGCGACTATGTCATTCCGACATTCGCCAGCAACTTCAACCACATCTGGGAGCAGGTGGGCGCGGCCGGCGAGGAGGCTGAGGAGACTTTGCAGCTCAGCAGCATGAAGAGCATAGCAGGTGAGTGCTTATTGGGTGGATCGTTAATGAATAGAGCTAACCATCAAATACAGAGGCAACGGAAGAATTGGCAAAGGTGTTGTCGCTGCAACCCCTGGAGGGTACGGATGTGCCTGTCAACCAAACGACACATACGCTCAAGTTGCTCGGAAAGACTGTTGGCGGTGGCAGGGTGGTGGCCAACATCCGGATGGCATACTCGTCCAAGTCTGGTGTGACGACCAAGATCACGGTTCGCAGCGAGGAGGAGGGCGTAGCGTCGCTTGTTGTTGCATCGGTTGCTTAAGGATGACAGTTGTTCGGAGTTCTGTGGGATCGATACATGGTCGGAGATTCCAAGCACAGACGCACGTACGGCAGCACAAAGATACGAGAACTTTGATTATAGCCCAAGGCACTCGCCCAAGCAGCCGCCACCATAGTAGCTTTGGGGGTGTCGAGCAGGAGTTGGAGCGCATCAGCGTGCGCGTAAAAGGACTGGCGGCTTGCGTATACTAGAATGAAGACATGAAAAAGCATTCACGAAGTACTAATAGATTCATATGTGAAGTGGGAAGTGTATGTGTAAGAGAACCACCCAGTCGGAGAGTTAAAGCTCATGCTGCAAGCCTGCGATACTACCTGGGATAGTTGAATATGGATAAGGTAGGATATACTCTTAGCTCGACGCCCAACCCCTGTCAGCGTCCAGACGCTTGTCAAATGGGAATAGGTCAAGCCTCGCGGCGCATGTCAGTTGATCGACGTCAAGCGGAGCTGGTGCTGGTGCTGAAATAGAGCTTGACGACCGACACTTTTGGGGGGCTTGACACGTGTGGCACGTGCCAAAATGGCTAATCCCGAAGAGGACTGGGCTAGAATTTGGGAAGTGCTAGAGCTCGGGGCCGGGACAGAAATGACGTTCGGTGACGGAGTTCTCTGCGTGTGCGCTCAAGCTGAGCTGTCCAAGGAAGGGCACCTTAGTGAAGAAAAAAAATAGCTTGGCCCTTTCGGCGCGACACGACAGCCACGCGACCTTTCCGCTGTTACCACATCTCAAGTTCTCGGGCTTCTCAACCTGCCATGCTCAACGCAACTTGAATCTTGTCAGGTCTTATTGAACAGATCTCGTCACTTGCCTAGGGAGAACTCTGACATTCACCTTGGCGAACCAAAGTCCTTACAAGTTCGCCAGTCTCCACATGCTCTTTTGACCCTTCCGCCCTGCCCACCGCACAAACCTTGTCCACCACCCCGCCGAAACCGAGTTCTCGACCAACCCCGGTTTGAAGCCATCGTCACCGCTTGTAAACTGGACCGACGTACGGATACCTTTTCGGGCCCATTTAGTGGTTCTACGGCGCTCTTGCTTGTCTTCCCCGGGACCCGCGTGGAGTCCGATCCGCCAGACAACAGGACGAGGAAAAAATAGAGAGCTTCCTGACAACAAAAGGAACCGCACAACAGCAAACCCCCGCGGCTCTCTACACACCTTTTCTTTCAACTACACCACACGTAGGGGCCAAAAACCACAGCTCCGTCACTCAAACCTCTCGAGGTAGTCACCGAAAGCAACACTCGCCCAAGATGGTCTACGTTCGCCAGGAACGCCTCCCGGCGCTCAAGGAGTACAAGTACTCTGCCGTCGACCACTCGC